ATTGATATCAAACCCTACAATATTGAGGGTATATATAGGCAACAAAATACCTCCAAGTTGTATTGGGATTTGGACAATTCAATTTAAATAAGAAAGTATAATTAAGATGGAGAAAAAAAAAAAAAAAAAAGAAACTTCAAGTCTCACTTGGAAAAAAGAGACAAGTCTTGTCAAAATTGGGACTTGAAGTGGGGGCAATTTGTAGACACTAAAATTTAGTGGGCTTTGGTTTTAACGAATGGACCCATTAAATATAGGCCTAATGTTTAAATAAATTATTTAATTTACCAGGCTTGGTCCACTTAAATTATTTAATTAGCCCAGCCCAGATAATTAAATGAAACGATAATTATTCCTAATAAAATATATTTTGAATAATTATCTTTAAGGATAATTATCACAATATAACCGGCCCGGCCCAGTTATAGTTTTATCCTTATCAGGAGATGACACGTGTCATCATCCTATTAATCCAAGAAGCCTATAAATAGAGGCTTGGAGGAAGAAAAAAGGGGAGAGGATTCAGAATTCAGAAGTCTACAAATTCAGACACAAATTCAGAAGTTACTCAGAAATCCAGAGACTCAGAATTCAGACATAAATTCAGAATCGAAACCCAAAAGCGAAGAACATCAAGCACATCCAACAACGTGCCATTCTTCATCAAATTTCACAGTGATTCAAGAACAAGCTCGTGCAGCCCTTGGATCCAACCAACCAAAAATAAGGAGATCGAATCAGAGGACCATTCTTTTTTTGTAAAAGATATTACAAAGGACTGTACTCCACATTCATAAATTAGTAGAATTCTATTTTGCTCCATATTTTGTTTCTATTGCAGACTTACAAAATTTGTGTGTACAAATTTGTTCTCCTGCATGCGTGGAGAGAGAGAGAGAAAAAAAAAAAAAAAAAAAATGTTCACCAGCGTGCGTAAAAAATATATATATATATATATGTTCTCCTGCATGCGTGGAGAGAGAAGAAAAAAAAAAAAAAAAAAAAAAAGAAAGTAAAAAAATGTTCTCCTGCATGCGTGGAGAGAGAAAAAAAAAAAAAAAGAAAAAAAAAAAGGCTCCAGCCAGCGTAGAGAAGAGAAGAGAGAGAGAGAGAGAGAAAAAAAAAATAAAAATAAAATAAAATAAAAGAAGAAGAAGAAACACACGTACCAATTATTTGTGATCTGACAAGTCTTCAGAGATTTTTGGAATTGATATCAAACCCTACAATATTGAGGGTACATATAGGCAACAAGATACCTCCAAATTGTATTGGGATTTGGACAATTTAATTTAAATAGGAAAGTATAATTAAGATGGAAAAAAAAAAAACAAAAAAAAAAAAAAGAAACTTCAAGTCTCACTTGGAAAAAGAGACAAGTCTTGTCAAAATTGGGACTTGAAGTGGGGGCAATTTGTGGATACTAAAATTTAGTGGGCTTTGGTTTTAACGGATGGACCCATTAAATATAGGCCTAATGTTTAAATAAATTATTTAATTTACCAGCCTTTGGTCCACTTAAATTATTTAATTAGCCCAGCCCAGATAATTAAATGAAACGATAATTATTCCTAATAAAATATATTTTGAATAATTATCTTTAAGGATAATTATCACAATATAACCGGCCCGGCCCAGTTATAGTTTTATCCTTATCAGGAGATGACACGTGTCATCATCCTATTAATCCAAGAAGCCTATAAATAGAGGCTTGGAGGAAGAAAAAAGGAGAGAGGATTCAGAATTCAGAAGTCTACAAATTCAGACACAAATTCAGAAGTTCAGAGACTCAGAATTTAGACACAAATTCAGAATCGAGACACAAATTCAGAATCGAAACCCAAAAGCGAAGAACACAGTGATTCAAGAACAAACTCGTGCAGCCCTTGGATTCAACCAACCAAAAACAAGGAGATCGAATCAGAGGACCATTCTTTTTTTGTAAAAGATATTATAAAGGACTGTATATTTTGTTTCTATTGCAAACTTATAAAATTTGTGTGTGTATATATATATATATATATATATATATATATATATATATAATAAAAAATATTGGTAGAGAAAAACAAATTATAGATAAAGAAAAAATCTAGTGTAATTGTTCTTACCTTTTTTTTAATTGTCAATTTGTTAAAATAAAAAATATATAATATAATATGTATTAAAATAGAGCAAATTCATATCTTTTTAGTTGATTCAAGAGAGAGGTATGCAGATACCCAAATAAATAGGATTAAAAAAATAATAAAAAAAATAAAAATATTTGTTGTAATTAAAAAAAAGAAATTTAAATAAGAACAAAAATAAGTAAATAAATCAAATAAGAAGATTCATGGTGATTGGTGGAGTAAAAGGACAAATATTTGTAAGTGGGTCCCATCCATGTAGGACAAAACGGTTTGCATGTGAGAGAGAATGAGCAATGTGAAGGTTGTTGTTAGGGAGCAGAATAAATGCAGTGGAGGAGAGGCCAAAACGGATTCGATTTCAGGTATTTTTTATTCCCCTCCCCAATTTAATGACCGGCTATTCCCGGTTTTTATTTATTTATTATTATTATTTTTAAAGATCCAAGTAAATCTAGAGCGTGCTATCTCATTGGGTAAAATGTGAATCCAACGAAGTTGACATTTGTGTATTTTTTTTACTTATATTTATTTTGATATATAAGTTTTATAGTCTTACATTTATATTAAATCTTATAGTCGCTCTATTTTGAGGCATAATACAATTAAGGGTTAAAATCATACCATCCTTCCTTTAATTTCAAAATTATTCCAAATCGGTGAGCAACTCATTAAATAAGTTGTGAGATGTTAAATTTGACCTTATTAATTAATATAAAATTAAAATTATACTTTTATTTTAAAGTTACAAAAATACCCCTTTCTTTTTCCCCAAGAACTTTGAAAGCCAAAATTTATTTAATAACTTTTAATTAATATTTTTGTAAGCACTTTGGGATATTTTTATAATTTTAAAATAATAATTATAGATTTTAATTTAATATTAAATAATTAGGTCAAATTTATTATTTCACAACTCATTTAATGAGTCCGTCACCGATTTGGAAATTAAAGGAAGGATTGTATGATTTCAACCCCTAATTGTATTATGTCTCAAAATAGAGAGATTATATTTCTATGTTTTAACGTGTCACGTATTTGGAGGTAACTTGATAAATTTTGTTAATTTATGTATTTTTTCAAAAAATTTACTTAGGGTTTTAATCACGATTTTGAAAGTGAAGAGAGATTTTGTGATTTTAACCATACAATTAAACGGTTTTGAACTTATTCAAATGAATGCTAGGTACTCTTATTTGGGTTCTAACCTACCTATAGGTCACACATTATGTATCAACCATCTTTGCTGTGGTTAATTTGTCGAAGGGAGGTGGGGGTGCCATTATTGTCATTAGTAGACTAAAAAAAAAAAAATGAAGAAGAAGAAGAAGAAACAATTAGAAGAAAAATGTTCATTTGAAAATTCGAGGTTTTTATGGCTTGAGAGAAGAAGATAAAAGTGGGTGATTTTGACTTCTTCACTCTTTGTATCATTACATCAAGTGGACTTAGCACTACTAGAGGTTTTTATGGTTTGAGAGAAAGAAAATAAAATAATAAAACCCTTTTTAATATAATGGAATGTATTGTTGTTTCACGTTCATGTTAGTGGTGCTAATGACACTAGTGTTGGGATTATTATATACTTATTTTGGCTTTGACTATTGTAATCACAAAACACAACCCATATGTTGCAATTTTGCATTAAGCTTTAATATATAAAATATGCAAATGCAACATTATATTTTGTTATGCTAAGTTTCAAATTTTTTATTTTTGATATTTCTTTTGAGTTACATTTATTTGAAAAATATATATAATTTGTTAGGAAAGTTTATTTTTTTCTTTTTATTTTTCAGTAAATGAAAAAAAAAATGTATTACTCCTTCCTTCCTAAAATAAACTTCCTTTTTTTGAAATCTAACATTTTAAAAGTATTAGTTTTAGTATTTTTTATTATATTGACAGTGAATGAATTATCAAATTTAATGTTCGATAGTTTACTTTTTATAAATTCAATGCTAGAAGGATAAATTGATAATGTTATGAAAATATAGTATTTTAGGATAGCCAAAAATAGAGGTGGACATTTATTTCCGAACGGATGGAGTAATTTGTTAAGAAAGTTTTGGGCATTAAAAATTTTAAAATTGTATTCTAATCTATGTGGGACCACACACTTTGAGAAGGAAAATATGAAGTTATTAGGGAGCAAAACAAATTGTGCTGATATAATTTTAGGTATATATGGATTTGTAAATCACATAAAATTTTACTCCAATTATTCTTTCTAAATTATATAACATACTTAATTTATTTAGATTTAAATAAGAGAAATGATTCTTGCACCGAATAGTTACAGTGAATTACACTTAATTAATTTTATAATTTAATTTTGGTGATGAAAGTAGGAACCATCATTTGACTTTATTTTTATGGGAAGAATTTATTATAAAGTACTACTAAAAGGGAGTTTAGTGTAAATTTTGAATTATTATGCTATATATAGCTCCTTGGGGAGATGAATAATGATATTTGCATTATCCTATTATGTTCAACTTACCAAAAAGAAAATATTACATTTTATAACTTAATTAATCATCACTTTTCAAGAATAATCGAATCATTTCCTTAATTTAAAAAGATTTACATTCTATAAAATCAATCACCACCCATAAATAGACCATTTTAATTTTTCTAAAAATAACATTCCCACTCATCCCAAGAAAAAAGAAAAGAAAATTGTAATATAATAAAGAATAGATTTTATAAATAAATAAACAAACAAAGTTGTATGAAAGTTATTAGCTCCAAGAGAATGTTTTTCTGCATACAAATATATATATATATATATATATATATATATATATATATATATTTATTTATTATTATATTAATATGTGTTGAAATGGGATTTTTATTTTTTTTTAAGTGCAAAAATTACTTCTTTTTATTTTTTAAAATGATTTTATTTTAACCGGTTGAACCGGTTACTGGTTAGAGGCGTCCATTACGCTACACTTTTGACCTTTCCATAAAAAGGCGTGTTTGGGGCGCAATATAGTACAGTACTAATTTTCTTACAAGCCAAAAGAAGTTGAAAGAAACAGTGGCGTCCTCTCTGTCTCTCTCTCCTTCTCTTTCTCTCTCTCTACTCTACTCGGTCCATATTCTGTCTCTCTCCATATATAAATTACGCGTATATGATTCTATAAAACCCCTACAAACTACAGAAAAATCGATCGGCTATAGAGTGGATTTGACATACAGCAATGGCGTCGTTCGTGTCAAATCTAATATTGTATTCAATCCACATTGCTTTACTCTCCACCCTCTGTTTCGCGGCAGACCCATATGCCAACTTCAATTTGGAGCTCTCTTACATCACCGCTTCTCCGTTGGGTGTCCCTCAACAGGTTCTCTCTCTATATATATGTGTCTGTGTGTGTCTTTGTGTGTGTCTAAGTGTCATTTTCTAGTACCGTTTTGCTTTGGTTTTTTTTTTTGTTTCAGAGAGTGATGAAATGATCGAAATGGTCTTTATGTGTTTGTTTCCTTTTCTTTTTCGTCCATTTTGGCTTTGATTTTTGGTCTTTGGGTCTACGAAATATGCCTTCATGGGTATTTTTCATCTTGGTGTTGCTTATTATTCTGTTTCTGGGCTGTAAACTTTGGTTGATTTTGTACACGTTGTTGAACTCGAAAGTAGGATTTTATTAGGAATGAAGAATATTAGGGTCCAAATGTCTTACTGTAATAGTATTTCTCTATGTGGGTTTTGCTTTTGCCCATTTTCGAATTGTCCTGCTTTACATTGTAGTTGTGTTTTAATCACGAAGTCAAATATTTGTAAAGTAGACTGAGTTCGTAAATGAGTCACTAGAGATGATTTTACTTTGTCCGTTTTGTGTAAAATGAATTGTTGCTTAAATCAGATTGGGTTTTGATGAGTGAAGAAGCTGGTAAGGAACCATATAAAAATTTATCTATGATTTTTCATGGATTTTGTGTATTTTTCATGATTTTGGCAGTAATTTGAGGATAATGTTTTCATGAACTCTGATTTGATATTAAGTAATTTGAGGATAATATTGGTGAAGTGTGAAGTACGCATCAAATGTCATTATGGAATCTGTTTCTATGTGGGATTTGTGTCATTCATGTTTTGGTTTGTATTATTCATGTTTTGGTTTATATTATGTGCTTAATGCTGTAAATGTAGTTGGATCATTGAATAAGGTTTTGAGTAAATTTTCCAAAATGCTGTTGTAGATAGTTCTGCTGATGGATTTTCGACTTTTTGTTTGAATTTTTGTAGAGTTGATTCGGGCTGTAATTTCACATTTTTTTCGTCACTCTTATTTGTAGGTTATAGCAGTAAATGGGAAGTTTCCAGGTCCTACTCTTAATGTTACTACTAATAACAATGTTGTGGTAAATGTGAAGAACAAATTGGATGAAAATCTCCTCATTACTTGGTAGGTTTGACTGACCATATAGTTTACCAATGTTTTATTTGTTAGTTTGCTTTTAATAGTCAGTATTACATTTCAAGAGTAGTTCCAAGGGATTTGAGTTTTTATGATTTTGGTAGGCCTGGAGTTCAAATGCGGCGTTCTTCATGGCAAGATGGGGTGCTGGGCACGAACTGCCCAATTCCTTCAAATTGGAATTGGACCTACCAATTCCAGGTTAAGGATCAGATTGGGAGCTTCTTTTATTTCCCATCTCTCAATTTTCAGAGAGCAGCTGGTGGTTTTGGTGGTTTTATTATCACTAACCGTAAGGTCATCCAGCTGCCTTTTAGCACACCAGATGGGGATATTGATATCATGATTGGTGATTGGTATACGCGCAACCATACGGTTAGTATTTGTAGAGTGAACAATAATTTCTAGCAAATTATGAGTTGGAATTTGATCTTTCTATGTAATTCACTAATGCTTGTCCTCATTTGACCATTAGGCACTGAGGACTACCCTCGATCGTGGAAAAATGCTTGGGATGCCAGACGGAGTTCTCATTAATGGAAAGGGACCTTATAGATATAACACTACTCTAGTCCCAGATGACATCAGTTATGAAACCTTTAATGTTGAACCTGGTATGATTTTTAATTACTGACAATAAATCATCCAATTTGTAGCAATTCAGTTGATTTTACATTATTTTTCATATCATTCAATTGGATATACGAAGATCATCAAATTGTCTTGCGTTGATATGGTGTTTATTACTTTTTTCTTGAATCTTAACAAACTTTTATGTTTAGATATTATGCAATTTGGTAGTGAATCATTTTCGTACATATGCTGTCTTATAAGTAAAAAGCCTATTTAGAAGTATTTCCCCAGAAGGGTTATATTTGAAATTTAGTCTTTTTTTTTTTTTTTCCCTGAATAAATTTAGTCTAATTCATCCAACAAATGCTGGCAATTCATATATTGACAACGACTGGCATCTGTCATTGAGCCAATTTACTGATCCTAACTACATTTTGATGTTACCATGGTGCTGTTATAAAATTATTTTGAATTAGCCTTTGCTGGATTGTGGCTTGAGTTACACCGTAAATACTGCTAAATACTTGTGATCAGGAATTGCTTCGATGGTTCAGACCATGAAAGTTTAAAAAATAGAAGGATTTGAAACATAATGAAGCATACTTACACACCTGAGTGGCTTATTGTTATAATTTGAATCTGGGCTATGTCATGTCTTATCATATTCTATTAAAGGTTTCCTTTCTTGTTCTTTCCATTTTACAGTCTTTCATTTCTTAAATTTGAACTGATAATGGTTGATGTGCATGCAGGCAAAACTTATCGGATTCGTGTGCACAATGTTGGAGTCTCAACTTGTTTGAACTTTCGAATTCAGAACCATAATCTGCTTCTAGCAGAAACAGAGGGTCATTACACAATGAAACAAAACTATTCTAGCCTAGATATCCATGTTGGGCAGTCTTACTCTTTCTTGGTCACCATGGATCAGAATGCAAGTAGTGATTACTACATTGTTGCGAGTGCTAGGTTTGTAAATCAATCACTCTGGCAAAGGGTGACAGGGGTTGCTATCTTGCATTATTCTAATTCAAAAGGGAAGGCATCTGGTCCTCTCCCTGACCCACCAAATGATGTTTATGACACATCATTTTCATTGAACCAGGCAAGGTCCATCAGGTTTGTTCCCAAGATTCTTGATATGTCTATTGGTTTCAGTTTTATGTTTTTTAATTGGAAGCTACAACTGTCTTATTGTAGAGTTATTTTCTTTGTATGGCTTAAAGTCTTGAACATCTACACATTATTCAGTGTCATTGCCCTTGGTGGACTTCTTTTTCTTTTATTCCCCCCTCTTAAAGAGAATTAATTTAAGATTGCATATTTTAATCTAATGGGGTCTCCAAAATTCTTTTTTCTTTAAACAAACATTTACAAAATTCCTGACATAGAGGAGAGAATGAAAGTGTATTGAATCTTAGTATGATATAATAGAGATGGACTGGAAGAAGAGTTTGCTAGTAACATCCATATGCATCGTTGAACCTTGTGCGTGTGCAGCATGTGGCATATGCTGTTGGGAGATTGAAACTTAGGCTAGTTACATCTATATTAGTCAAAATTGCACATTTTGGTACTTTAAAAAGTTAATAACTGTGAGCTGTTTCAAAATATGATGTCTGAAATCAGATTTTTAATCCCCATCACCTGAGCACTTTATCCTTTTCATGATCCCTCTCCCTCTCGCGCCTTGTTTTATCCTTTTCAGGTTTTGCTGTAAGAAGCTTATCATGGTTACCTCATTTTTCTTCCCCAGTAAATATGGTTAGCTTTCGATTTGTTGTGAATTGTAATTAATGTTTATTTTTTCAATTTAACCAGGCAAAATGGATCTGCAAGTGGAGCTCGTCCTAACCCACAGGGTTCGTTTCATTATGGTTCAATCAATGTGACTGATGTCTATGTGTTAAAGAGCAGGCCACCAGTAACGATTGATGGGAAACTCCGAGCTACATTTAATGGGCTTTCATTTGTCAATCCTGGTACACCAATCAGGCTTGCTGACCATTTTAATGTGAAGGGTGATTACAAGCTTGATTTCCCAAACAAGCCGCTGAAAGGAGCACCTCGGATGGCCACATCAGTTATTAATGCTACATACAAGGGATTCATAGAAGTCATATTGCAGAACAATGACACAGTAGTGCAGAGCTTTCACATGGATGGTTACTCGTTTTTTGTGGTTGGGTAAAGTTTTTATTCTTATTTTTATCATTTGCGTTTAAATATTGATGTTGCTGTGTGCATGTTGATAACTTAAATCTTTTAACTGCAGGATGGATCATGGGGAATGGACTGAAAACAACAGGGGTTCATACAATAGGTGGGATGCAATAGCTCGCAGTACAACACAGGTATGTTATCGGGGGACCTTAATATAATTCTTGTGCTATGAATTATTATGACTAGAAAAACCTATAACAGTCTTTTGTTTACAAGTATTATGATATTGAATTGCCTTTGCTGGTTGTTACCATTGCATATAATATCTTACTTTCTCTATTTTTTTTTTTTTTTTTGTTTACGCTTTCTGTTATGTTGGAATTACTTCTTTATTAGTAGTGTTTGCCTGTAAAGTCCACTTTCCACTTTTAAGGGTCAAATTTTGAAATGTTCATGGTCCGTTTTCCAGTAATTTACTCTGTTTTTCCCATGTGAAGGTATTCCCTGGGGGATGGACTGCAATCCTGATCTCTCTCGACAATGTTGGTGCATGGAACCTCAGAGCAGAAAACCTCGACAGATGGTATCTAGGCCAGGAAACCTATATGAGAGTCATCAATCCTGAACGGACCAACAAAACAGAACTGGGGGTGCCAGATAATGTTCTTTATTGTGGTGCCCTCCGTCATAAGCAGAAGTATAGAACATAACTCCCTCTTTCTCTCTCACTCTCTCTCTCCATAGTTACTGACCTATGTATTGCCACACTTTATTGCATTTCAGGCCTCAGAAAACCAGCTTTTCTGCAGTATCTGTCAATGGACAATCAAAGCTGCACTTCAGTCTGCTATGGGTATTCGCAGCCATCACAGTTGCCATTTCCATTTTACTGTAAGCTGGACTGCTAGTTAAGAGAACATTGCCATCCCTGGTGGTGCCAGTGTTGTAGGTATATTTTAATGGGGGAGTAGGCTTCGTTTGGGATACAGTTTTTAGCGTAAAGTGTTAGATGTGCAAAGAGAAATATTTTAGTACAAATTTTCGCGGTTTTTATCCCCAAGATAGAAATATGTGGGCTTATCATTTTTCGTGTATCAAAATTACATACTGATGATGATGAACCTGTTTTCGATACCATATTACTGATTCATACCCAACTTGATTGGTATATTCTTTGATGCTAATTTGCTGTGTTTACATACCATACCTCCTTCAGTTACAGTTGTTGATTTTGATATAAAGTTTTATATACCACTTTGATAAATGGATTTTGCTTTCATGTGCAATATTGTGAAAGAGGCATGAGATGATTATTAATTATGGTGAGAATGTGAACTTGAATGCTTGTAGAGTGAATGTTGGCAATGGGTCCAACTCTTACATCAACATTGCTCAAGACCTCTCAATTGAAAGTGAAAAATGATTGGTATTCTGTGTATTTTGGATTTTTCTTTTTTCTTTTTTCTTTTTCTTAAATTTTATTTTATTTTATTATTATTTTTTTTTTGGATATGCAATCAAATTGCTTGTGTTAATGTATATGCATGGTCAGGTCAACTCTACTCTAATCACTGCATATGCTTACCTCTTTGTTTAAAGTTTAGGGGATTAAGCTCTGGAGAGTAATCAGTCATATATTTATTATAGTGGACTGTGCTATATATATACTTAATTTCCAATAGGTGTTTCTTTATTATTATTGATATATTATTATTAGTGTTTTAAGGTAACTTCAATATGTATTACTTGTTGACCATTTCAATCAGCTTAGGAGTTTTGAACCTCTCCGGCCTTCCAGGCATGTTTATGTATTTTAGTTATATTGCAGGACATTGCAGGACATTCTGATCCAAGTGGGGATTCCATTAATTCATGCACAATATAGGAGATTTTTCAGTGATAAATTGATTATATATATATATATATATATGCTGGCTCAGCAAAATATTTGTGTTCCTTCCCACTATGTCCAGAAAATAGGAAATTATATACAAATAGAGTAGCCTAGAATGCTGGTGGTCCATGGACAAGTCTGCTAATTGCAAGTATCAAGACAAACACAGCAGAGTGATGACATCTTGCCACATATTTTCTTGTTTTTATTGGGCAAAGCCCCGACTAATTCATGGGACCCGTGCAAGGCAACCACATGGGTTAGGTAAAACTCAGACTACATCGGTCCGTGAAATTTTTTTCATGTCGACCGATTCACTCAAACCAGTTGACGTGTAAGTCTCACACGTTGATCGGTTCCTGTGCAGACCGAGTACGGTAGCATGACAGTGTCAAACACCCACCCACAACGTACTCACCCAAAAAATTGCAATCTCAAAGGAATCGGTCCCGAAACAAACAAGGAGCCTCAGAGGTCCTAAGATTTGCACCTAAAAACCCTAAGGAATTGTTTGCACCTATTTAGACCTGATGATGCTTCAGATATATTTTCTTGTTATCTGTTTTGATATCCTAACAAACTCAAATGATTGGTATTCTAATATGAGGAATCCAGCTAGACACATTGGCTTACTATATTATACTACAATATATATAATTATATATATACCAATCTTCATGGTTGATCAAGTTAACCTTACAATGCTTTGGATTCAATTTCTGTGTTCAATCAAAGCTTGGTTCCTAGGTTTCATTCTTCTTATTTAATTGTGTTTAATTGAAGGTGGTTTCTGATCAACATCCCTTCACATATCGACATATTGTCAGCTTCACAATCTTAATCCCAATCATAAGAAACAGTGTTACGAGGAGTCTTGCAAAGACTATATTATCCCTAACAGAGCTCAAACCCTCAACCTCTCCTTTGATGAGGAAATATCATAACTTTAAGTACCATTGTTCGAACTTGAAAGTAGTTTGTTTAGTGTCTTTTTTTTTTTTTTTTTTTTTTTTTTTTTTTTTTTTGAACTATAAATATTGGAAAGAGATACATCTGTGAGTGGAAAGAACAGCATAATAAGAGTCACATGGATGAATGATGTTGACTTCCTCTACACACTACATTTATATATATAAAACCCTAATTATTAATTCAGTCACTCCCAACTTCGAGTGCCCTTCTTAATCAATGTAATGCCTATGCTTGTACCCTTTTGACTTTGCATCTCTCTCTCTCTCTGGTCAATCTCTGGTCCGAAAGAAGCAAGCATTGACTCTAGTCCCTTTTCTCCTAGGATTCTCTTCTTTTACTCAACTGTGTGTTTGTGTGTGTGAGAGAAAGTCTCTCTTGTCACTCTAAAGTTCGAGTTAGGACTAATGAGGAGAGAAGACACGCTCAATGAGTGTGTCGTTTGGAAATTTTCATTGCTTGAAAGGGACTTAACTCCAGGCTTGACTTCACCACAAGTAAAAATGCACCATATATATATATATATATATACACATTCTAATATTTCAAACCCATCACAGAATTTTCAATCCTACACTAAAATCGGAGGCCCTCTTCAATCACAATCTCAAACAAGTGCAGATTTCTATCTACTCTTTCCCGGTTCCGTTTCGTTTGCAGCTTGTTTCAGCTTTAGAAGTTATGTTTCTTGTAGGTATGTCATTATTTGATATCAAAATTCAACAGTTGCATTTTAGAGCATGCATGTTCCTTCATAACAATTTTTTTTATCCTACTTTTCTTCATTTTCTTGCTTTCATGAATGGCCGAAGCTGATTACTAGCTGCAATAGAGTAACTTAATTAGCTCCTTTTTTACTTGGAAGCTTTGTTCTACATCTAACAGATAATTGCTACTATTTTTTTTTTTTTGTTAATTTTTAAAACAGATATTCTTTTTAATAAATTTTTAGAAAACAGTTTTACAAAAAATGCCACCAATTAAGTTTTTGTAAAGATTTTGAATTTTTAATTCTCTAAAAACATAAAATTGTTCTCGAAACACTGAACCAAACACGCAGAGTAGTTATTCCTTATTTCCTCTCCGCATAGTATTTCCACAAGGCTGGGAAGTTTATTGCCTGAACACAATTAGCTAGCTTTTGTTGCCAGCTTATTATTTCTAGTAGCGAAGTTTCTTCTACTATTTCTTCATGTTAATGACTATATATATATATTTATATTTTACCCTCCATCTTTTGCTCATGCAGTTTGCTGCGCATTTTGGCCATCTTAGAAAATGATATGGATAATGTCATTTTGGTTGATCATTGCATAGCAAAAAGGATAAGATTTAATGGAACCCTTTCCTTTATATATATATATATATATATATATATATATATATATATTATATTTGTAAATCTGTTCAATATATGAAGGGATGTTGAGAAATGGACTCAACTAGTCCAGAAAAGTAGTAACCTTGAACTAGGAAAAGAAGATTATATAAAATCCTTCCACGAGGATAATGCATGTACACCTCAAACATTGACAGTAGATTTCATTAGATAGCTAAAAGGTAGTTTATGTTTTTATAACCAACGGTGAGGATTTAATTCGTGAATAAATTATTGCGACGCTAGCAAGTAGGTGTTGAACAATCTTACAATATATGAAGGGATGTTGAGAAATGGGCTAAACGAGTCCACAACCTTACAAGTAGTAACTTGGAAATGAAGATTAGAAAAATGTATGGATACCTCAAGTATTCAGTGTTAAATTTCATTGGGGGCGAGGATTTAATTCGTGGATAAATTATTTCAAGACTAGTGAGTAGGGAGCAGGCGACAACCCTATATATGTAGAAGGGATGTTGAGAAATGGGCTCGAAAAGCCCAGAGCCTTACAAGTAGTAAAAGTAAACTAGGCCCATTGGAGACAAGAAAGAAAGAAGTAGGCCCAACCCAAATGGCAGACAGGCCCATTGATTGTATTCAAAAAGATGTTAGCCGTTATTATGTAAGCATGATTGTTTTCCACCATCAAAAATCCCCCTTGGGAAATGAGATGCTTTAAGTGATGGTAAACTCTTTTATACTATATATAGCTACTTTACTTCTGTTACTTTCACACTCATTTTAATTTGTCACATTGGGCATTTAATTTTCAACCTTTAAATTTTGGAAAATAACAGAATGAGATTATAAAATGATAGCATAGCCCAAATAGTATCTCATTCACACATACACACACTTACCTACATACATACACTTACCTACTATAAAATGATAGCATAGCCCAAATAGTATCTCATTCACACATACATACACTTACCTACATACATACACTTACCTACTATAAAATGATAGCCCAAATAGTATCTCATTCTGTTTTTTTCCAAAATTTAAAGGTTGAAAATTAAATGCCCAATGCGACAAATTAAAATGAGTGTGAAAGCAACAGAAGTAAAGTTGCTATATATATATATATATATAAGCGGGTGTATGTATATATGGGGCTTTGTCTAGACTAATTCACGAGAAGGCCATTATGAATTTATTTACATTATGATACTTCAGGAGATATCAGGACCCAAATCTTTTTTAATTAGGCCAACTCCTTGAGATTAGTAGTAACTAAATTTTCATATTATTCAGACAGTAGGTTTTTTTTTTTTTTTTTTTTACATTATAAAGACAATTGTATTTCCTCTAACGTCGTAATGTTTATTTATTTATTTTTTTCATGACAAATATTCAAAAAAAAAATTGATCATCTATAATTACATGGAAGGTTATACTTCACTTTCTCTCTCCCTCCCTCCCTCCCTCCCTCCCATGTGGGGGTTGGTTTAAGATAGATAGAGTGCTATAATTAACATGGTTATCTCTTGAACTCAAAAGTAATCATTTTCAGTGTGAGGGGTATTCTAACCTTAAAGGGTAAACAAAATCCTATCTCATTATGTGACCTAAATTAGCAAAAACTTGCTGAATATATATAAAGTTGCTGTATATTCTACCTCCTACCTCTACAACACAAACATGATCCCCAATTTTCAACTTGAATACGACCATATTGATGTTATCATTTCTCCATATATTAAACACCATCATACAACTACATCTTTTATCCTCCCTTTCACAGATGTTATGTCTCAGATAAAAAAATTAAAAATTAAAAAATTGTGTTGCTTGATAGCATTATATATATATATAATCAGACTGAAAATAGTGATGTTTTATTTGGTTTCTGAGAGAATAGAGGAACTAGTACTAACAATTTTTTTTTTTTTTTTTTTTTAAAAAAAAAAAAAAAAATTATGGAGCAATAAACTGAGACATTCCAAATTTGCAATGTTTTGCAATGTAATCTGAACAAAAAAAAACGGAGCACGAAGGAAAACAGGAAAAAGAAAATTGGAAGCTATATGTAGTGGCAAACTTGCAAGAATGAATTAAGAACAAGACAGAAATATAAATTTCTTATACTAATAATTTCACGACGAATTACATACAAAAAACACTTGAGAAAATAATCTACCACATGCATAATTAAGTAGCACATGTGGCTCTCAGATCATGGGCTACTTAATAATGGCCATTCCAAGTTCCTACAAGCACACTCATGAGCTCCACAGTCCAAATTTACCATACTACAAATGCTAACTTAACACTAAGAGGGTTATATTGTATCACTTTTGTATGTACATATTGACTGAAATACCTATCATCAGTATGTACTTTGATCACTCTATTAGGGTTTTACTTCCACAGATCGATTTGGCAACTGGAGGCCAATGTAGATGCATTTTCTGGCGCCAATTCTTGCTTGTTCAAGTGCCGGACAATCATACTCGTGCTGTCATTGGCATGAAACACATTGGCTGATGCATTTGAGTAGTCAGATTCCTTGGAAGCGTCTTCTTGGCTGAGTTGAGAGGCAACAAACTTGTCTAGGACGCGCCAATCTGTGACTTGATCCACTGCTTGCTCATTGTCAGCATTGTTGCCATAGATGGAATGGAAGTTGTGGTTGTGGACTTGTTGGATGTGTTCTTCTTGCGTGAGTGATGAGGACTGCATAGTGCTTCCACGGTTTATGTCAAGAGTAGTGCCATACGGAAGCATGGAGTTGCAGCTCAAGGTGGGAGCTGTTTGCAGCAGTTTTGGGCTCTCTAGAAGTGGGAGGTGGATGAGGTGTTCATGGGGGATTTGGTACTGTAATTCTATCTCCTTCTTGCACGCATAGGGATGGTGGTAAGTGATATTAGAGTGAGAAGTTTGCTTTGGCGAATCCAATTCTGGCATGAATGATACTTGATCATCATACCAATTCATTGGAGATTCATGTTCGCTCATTTTGCGCATGGTTGTTATTCTCTTCTTGAATACGCGACAAACAACCCAACCTTCTTCCTGTTTTTGAAACAGCAAAATATCATCAATCACTAGCTAATTTGCAGAATATTTCAATTTTTCGAAAGAAAAGAAAAAATAGTGCAAATGCATATAAAGGTAGCCATATTGAATGGAAATGTGTTCAAATATAGCTCAATGCTATGCAGAAGAGAGAAGTGCAAACTAAGATAGCACAATGCTATGCAAAATATACTAATAAAAGTCCTCAATTACATGTTCAAGCAACCTAACTAATACTCAAAGTTACCGAATGTTAACAATGGGCATTAGCTCAGATTGAATGATCTCTCCTCCCTGAATTGAGTCCTACTAAAGGCAAAATTGAGATCTAGTGATATGGAATTTATAATACGATATTAAAAGGGGTATGTACTTCTTTTAAGAGCTTGTAAACATTCGGAGTTAAAATTTTGTATCAACACAAGAAAATTAAGTTAAAATCTTGTAAGGATTGGGAATACTTGCCTGAGGAGTACCATTTTCATCAGTTTCAAGCCGGTACTCATGCATAATCCAATCTGACTTCTGTCCATTCGGTGCTCGGCCTTTATAAAAGACTAAAGTCTTCCTCATGCCAACCAAGTCATGCTTAGAGTATATAGCTTTGTCTCTTCCTGTTGCTTTCCAAAATCCTGCTGCTGTTGCTCTATTTGTGCGAGTTCCAGTCGGATACTTTTTATCTTTATGGCTAAAAAAATACCATTCATTTTGCTCTTCTGTTCCTAGTCTGCATAATTCTGTTCAAATTGATAAAGTACTTTAGAAACTAATGTGCAGTTCTTTTTTTTTTTCCGGTAAAGCTAATGTGCAGTTCTTAATTAAAGATTAATCTAGGGTAGTGACCTATATATTGATCAGGGGAATAATTGTGGTCTTAGTGATATATATATTTATATACCTTGAAGATCCCATGGCTCAATTTTGTAGAGATCAACATCTCTAATGACATCTAGATCAATCCTTCTGCAAGAAATCTTTTTCCTAAGGTAGTAATCCACGAGTTCTTCGTCTGTGGGGTGAAACCGAAAACCAGGAGGAACATTTGAAAAGGTATTCATTTTTCTACCACTTGAGAATTGATTTATCAGACCTGCAATTCATTTAGCATACTCATTAATCCATCAGTTAATCATATACCAAAGTTTAATTTGAATAATGCAGTCATATTAACATCAGCTGAAGATTGCAATCTTTTGAGTGAATTTTGAAGTATATATGATGTAATCTGAGCTTATTGTCTTTGACTAGAGTAAATCTTTCAGGGTTAGATTAAATTATTTTATATAAGTAGAATAAGAAATAAATACTGAATATATAATATGTTTTATATATGCAAGGTCTCTGATAGTCATTTCATGCAATGAAATGGAAGGATATATACCAAGGAAAATGGACAAATTGGAAGGACATGAAAAATCATCAAAACACTATCTTTTGAGCCACATATATTTTGATACTTTCCATCATATTAGTTATATTTTGATAAATGGAAATGTTTCCAGAAGAATAAGAATATATTTTTATATTTTATTTTACAGAAGGTTGTCTTTATTAGTTTTTTTTCCAAGTTATTTGAAGGGGTAATATAAATGAACCAAAAACTAGAGATGATTTTTTTTTTTTGGGTAAATAAAACTAGAGATGAGTTACAATGGCCTAAAACATAAGAAAGGTTATTAATTGCCTAACATAAGACAAAGCCTAAATTTGTCAAACAGGCACAATTTTAAACATAAGAAAGAGAATTAATTCACATTATAGCTCATTTTCATTTTTATAATCTAGTTATAAATTGCATTAATTGTACATGTAATCCAATAGCCAACATTAGTATTATGAATAGATATTGTTCTCTCTTTAAGATGCACCCAATGATAATTCTATGCAAGCCATTAGTAACATCTTATTAAAGACATGTTTCAAAATAATATATATATATATATATATATATATATATGATTGGAATCATACTTGTTTCAAACATTACTTTGATGAGAATCAATTTTCAAAATATAAATCATATAATCCAACCTAGACAATATATACTACTTTATTTTCATGGCTATACAGAGAAACACTTGGACCTGATAAACTGTAATATTCATCTAAATTTCATAATATTTTCATGTGTTATTGACTATGTTGTCCTTCTCTTTTCTTTTCTTTTCTCTGTCTTTTTTAGTTGTCTGACTATGAGTACTTATGACTGGACAATATAACTTCGGTCCCTTTGACAATTAAGCATGAGATCGATAGTGATGGTGATCATCATAAGAGATGTGATAACCATATATACATGCAATATCACATGTTTTTACAATCAATAATATCAACTATATATATGTATATATGCCACTCATTGTGATTCATAATGCAATATCATCACATTAATTGGATTCTTCTGAGGATAAATTTAGATCATGACATCCATTTCTTTCCCTGGTAATTAAGTAATTAAGAGTTCATTAAACTAAAAAAAAAAAAAAAAAAAAGGATACAAATTAAAGATAAAACACAAATCAATTAATAAAAAGTCGAAGGAGAAGAAGAAAGAAATAAAAGAACTTATGATGGGATAAAGTATTGCAGTACTCCATGACCAAAATGTAAGTTACATATGCAATTCACAATTAACCCTAGAAATTAATGTTTATTTATAGGCTTTTATAGCATTTTGTAATAAAAGAGAACACAATATTTTTTTCTGCTAAAACAATATTCCTGTCGAACCTCCATCACCTCAACAGCAAGTTCTCAAATCAAAATCCATAATATATATATATATATAACGAGAGAGAGAGAGAGAGAGAGAGAGAGAGAGAGAGAGAGAGAGAGAGAGAGGGGCTTACTGATGAAGCAACAACTAATGATCCTTAATTTCTGAATCAACAGATCTGGGTAGAGAGAGTGGATCTTTCTTCAACAATCAAAATTGAAACTACAAAACTTTCAAAAGATAAAATCGAAACTACAAAGTGATCAATTGGGTAGACTCCAAATTGAGGAGGGAAATGAGAGGCTGATAAATCAGACGAAGAAAGAAACAAGAATTGACCTCGGGACTTGAACCAGTTATTGTACTCTAGCAGAAGCTAGCTACAAACACAGAAGCTGTGGTCGAGTTGTGGGATCAGATCCCAAGGACGACACCGTGTGATGAAACCCACAAAAAAAAAAAAAAAAAAAAAAAGGAGAGGCTGATCGGGAACGCAAGAATGGGTAACAAGTGTGGTTATATATAAACACCATAAGAGAGAGAAAGTAATGATGAATGATATTATGTTACTAGCTTGGGTTTCATGTGCTTTCACTGTCTCTCATTGTCTGATTGAGCTGAATTGGTGGCAAAGTTTTTTTTTTTGGCGGGAAATAAGGGTGGCGATAAACTGGTTGAGAGAGAGAGAGAATGGGCAATTAGAGCTGCGTAAGGGCAACTGCCACCTCCACCACCCGAAACTGATAGAGACCCTTATAGAGAGAATGTTCTGTTTCAGAGCTCTTTGCTTTTCAGAGAGAGAAAGACATTGTGTGGAAAGGGAGAAGAGTAAACGAAGGACGTCAAATGAGAGTTAACGGCACAGACCAATCACACACCTTACTTAAAGCCTCGAGAAGCTAGACACCAAAAAGAACCTATAAACCTATTAAAGGATTTTTCGTTGTGACGTAATGGAACACTTATCCAATGTAATAAATCATTTGCCCTCTTTTTGGGCCCAAAAAAGAACGGTTTTCAACCCTTAATAGGGCAACCATCTTTTGGCTATTAATTAATAATAGTTATCATTTACTTTGTCCTATATAAATGAATTAATTTTTTCACTAGGTTTCTTGTAGTTATGCAATCATGGTTTTAATTTTTTATTATTTTCAAAGGATCTAGGGCTTTGTCCGACTAATTTTCCTAACACACTGTAAAATGCTCCCTTTATATGAATCATCATAATTTAGTTTTACTGGTGTTATAGGATGGCATTAGCTATGCTATTGTCATTGGAAATAAAATCGTGTTTTCGTAATAATCAAACCTTGAAAACTTTCAATTTCCCTGTCGTTCGAAAAAACTTTCAATACTCTGGATACTTATTATTGTGATTGTGAGTCGCACGGTGCGAAAGCAGTTCTGTTAATTTAGTTGGCAACAATGTTCTAATGACTTAGAAACGGTGGTCAACTTGCTTGATTTTTGTAATCGATTAAATTACTCACGATTATTAACAATTAAATATCCACAATCACAAATATCAACAATAAAGTAAAGCAATTAAATTAAAGTTTGAGATATGACACCAAAATTTTTAGCGTGGAAACCTTATTGGAGAAACTCATCCAACTCGGGAGGAAACCACGAAGACCTTTGTCGTATCTGGTGAAACCAATCCACTATCTTGAAGCAAAGTATAACAGACTCTTACTCAAACTTACACCCTCTCCACTCTACCAATAATCAGTTGTTGAACGTCTTTGCCTTGCGACTCCTCATCCAAACGCTCTTAACTTTAGGTTTATTCCTTCATCATTATAGATGGATTGCTAATAGAATACAAACACTCCTCGAAAGATTTGTTCCCTCAATCGAATCACCGAAGTACCTACTATATTGAAGTGAAGGACTACGACAAGGTTTACTGGGATTGAGATCAACAAACACTCCAATTGATAGTGGCAGGCTTGGTGACGAAGGTGAATCCACATATGTCCAAGATATTGTTAGAATTTGTGAATGAAAAATTGTTTCATCAATCATCAACAGATGTCTTGGACTAAACAGGTGTGATCACTGGTTGGTTGTGGGATGAAAAGATGCAACTCAAAACCAATAGATATAACTTATTCAATGTGAACCATTGCAACCTATTGCAGTACGTGTGTCCAGTGATGAAGAAACACATATAAATAGTTGTGTTCGGTGATAAATAGACACATATAAATGGTTATGTCCAATGATGAAGAGAAACATATAAATGGTTGTGTCCAGTGATGAAGAGACATATATAAATGGTTGTGTCCAGTGATAAAGAAACACATATAAATGGATGTGTCCAATGATGAAGAGACACACCTAATCTGAAAAAAACACTTTTATTTCTATAAATACCCTCTTAGGCGACCATTTGCAATTCGTTCAATTCATTTTCTTCTCTCTCTCTCTCTAGATTTAAACCCAACCCAAGTGGGTTTAAGCCATAGGTATTCAAATAAAGGGGATCGAGCACCTTGCTATCAAGTGGTCTGAGTCACTTAGACCATAATCTAATTTCACCGAGCCATATTAAAATTGGTCTAAACCATTTGGTTCGGATTGTACCCAATTAAGCATTTTTATAGTATAGATGCATTTTTTAGTTTGAGAAAGTATTACACAAAAGAGGTTTGCCATATCCACGAGTTTGTAGTGCTGCTACTGATGAATGTAGACCATTGTATACTGGGAGACAAGCGCCACAGAGTTCTTCAGCACTATGCGGAACGTAAATTGTCTTAAGGATATAGAATTCTATACTGGGCTCAGTTCAGGTTCTTTATTTATTATTATTTTATTGCTTTAATTTGCACGCTTAATTAAATATTGAGTTGCATATTTAATTAATTATTTTTTAGCATATTATTAATTATCTCATGGCATATTAGAATAAAGTTATATCTTAAATGTCATTTAAAGCATATATTTTCAAACAGATATTTCCCTATTGTTGGCATATCTTGACTATTGGGATAAGTTTCATCTTTTTTCATAGAAGAATTAAGAAGTAATCTGTTACTCTAATCGAACTGAGTAGACCTATGTAGACTTTAAAGATCCTTTCGATCAGACAAAGAATATCACCATAAATCAGTCATGTGTTTAAGTGTTGTGATAACCCCCGAATTTTCACGTGTAGGTTAGCCAAGCCCACACCCGAAAACATGGGAATATCAAAACAATTTAGTATTTAAACGAACACAGAATACAAGAAGAATGAATAAATCGCTGAACTAAATTCTATTAATAAAATAAAACCTCATTGGCAAAAATAAATTCTATGAATTTAAAATTCTAAAATACAACTCGGGAATCCTATAAGTCAAGGACCCATACACCATAAACTATTAATTCACCAGACATCTAACAATAAATAACAATACTAAAAAGTAAACAAGATAAGTAGATGAATGATAGTCTCCCAACTGTGGATCCTCAACCTCAAGACTGGAACTTCTAATAACTTGAAAAATAAATCGTGAGTTAGACCCATGAGCAAGTTCCCTCTACTAAACCTCTGAAAACAAATAAATAAAACATCTCTAACCAAAATCATCCTAATTAATATTTTAACCTTTAATATAAGATGATCTATATATATTATATATATAAATATATAAAAAATATGTTCATTAATATATTCCTTAAAATCCAAGATCATAAACAATGATAAGACTACCTTCATATTTAAACTAACCATCAAGTACATTCCACTTTTAAGAGAAAATTCCTTTAAACCTAAATTCCATATTTAAATAGTTATTTAACCATTTAAAGAATAAATAATAATCCAAGAAATATTTTCCTTCAATCCAAATCCCAATATCCACCAATGTATGATTTTATTTATAAAGATCAAATAGCAAAGATCTATACTTTGGCAACTCATCTATGCCTACACTAATATTATTTTATTAATACTATAAAATAATATATTATCCTTTACCAACGGGTCAGTGGCCTAGCGGTACCAACCTCCTACTTCCCAAAGGAATGTTAGGGGTTCAAGTCTAAAAAAGAAACAAGTGTGTGTGAGTATCAACTAAGAATATATATATATATATATATATATATATATATATATATATATATATTATCCTTTAAACATTAGTTTATTCTAATAAGAATATTTATCACCTCCAATTTATAAACACAATATCCGAAGATGTATATTTAATCATCTAACTTACTTAGCAATTTATTTATAATTTGGTAAATCATTCATGCTTCCACAAATATTTATTTATATTTTGGCAACTCAGCCATGCCTCCGATTTAGGCCTGGCCAACCTACACGTGGAAATTTGGGGGTAATCACAGTTGGTATCAGAACTTGACCCAATCGGAAGTGTGCCGATGAGGACGTCGGGCCTCCAAGGGAGGTGGATTGTGATGACCCTATGGGCGGGTGTGCCGTGGGCGGGTGCGAGAGACACTAACAGGCTACCACATTGGCGAGTTACGGGTGTATAGTCCCACATCGCCTGGGTACAGGAAAGGTGAAGTGCTTATATGTAAGTGTGTCATCTCCAATTGGTATGAGACCTTTTGGGGTGAAACCCAAGAGCAAAACCGTGCGGACTCAGGTCCAAAACGGACAATATCATACTATGTGGTGAAGTGGGTCGTTACAAGTGTACACTCTCAAAAAGATAAAAATATAATTTTTTTTCAAAATCTCTATTAAAGCTCCAAGAATGGTGTCAAATATGATTTTAAGTTTTCTCCCAAAAACCACATTAAGGGTGGAGTTTTAAGATGTATTTATATCCAAGAGAGTTCTCAAAATATTTCGAAAGATATTTTTAAAACGTACTAGGACATCTCAAGGAGTTTGGATCAAAAAGAAAAATTGAAAATTACCAAAAACTGAAATCCCACAACTTCTTAAGAAAGTGCAATCGATTGGACTTAGTTGGACCAATTGGACTTGCATAGTCTACAAACCACGGGAATTCTGAGAATTGCAGTCGGTCCAAGAAAATGCAATTGGTCGAACTAGTACAAATTGCAACTCTGTGATGGCATTCATCTACTGGCAGAGTGCAACCGGGCCGACTTGTCCAGATTGCAACGTTTGTTTCAAAAGCTCAGTTACAATCCTATCCAACCTAAATATAAAGTGTGCTCACTCACACATGTATTTGAAGTATGTTACATCCAGGTAGGGATGATAATTTACCTCGCGGGGACGGGTCCCCGCCTCGTTTTTAGTGATTTTGGGGGACTAATTAACTTATTTGGATAAGGATAATTTTTATTAATGAAAACCTGCACAGGGTCGGGGCGGAGGCGGGGCAGGTTACCCACCCCATCCCATCCATTTTAGGTAGGTAAATTACTAAATTATCTTTATTTTATTAGTATATATAGTTAATTCTATAAATTCTAGGTTATATTCACTCACTTTTTCACTCGTCTAGAGAGAGCTATATGAATTAAAAACACTTGTACCCAAGAATTTAATGTTAAATTATTAATTTTTACAAATTTTTTTAATAGTTATTTAATTGTACTTGAGGAAAAAAAAAATTAAAAAAAAAAAAGAAAAATTCTAGAACTAGAGGCGGGTGCCAACAAGAGTGAAAGAGTTAAATAAGGGTGGGAATAGGATTAAAACGCCTCCCATTTAGGTGATTTTACTTGCACGATGATCATGACGCAAGTTAAACCAATAGACAAGTTTTGACACCAGAATGATACCATGATTGATGCTATGTCAGTTATATGTTTGGAAAAAAAAAAAAAAAGAAAAAAAAAAAGAAAGAAGCTTGAATATATAGGCATAGGACTAAAATTAC